ATACGTTTTTATCCAATAAGCAATGTTGTTGTTGCTTTTTTTTGTCGAAACATGCAAAAAATTGTCTTTTTATGAAATTTTCAGATATATCTGCGTTATTAATGGACGGATTTTGCTGATTTAAAATAGGAAACTTCTTGTCTAATTTAAAATAGGAAACTTCTTGGAAGCATGTCTGATAGAATTATTGAAGATTTGGATCCCGAAGATATCTGGGGTCTTCAAAAAATTGATTTTAACAGACAGACGGACATACAGAAGGATGACGGACTCTACTATTACTTTAGCAGCAACAAAACAGAAAACAACAACAATGCCAAACAAAACAAAATACGCAAAGCAATACAACCAACACACATCCAAACATACGTTTTTATCCAATAAGCAATGTTGTTGTTGCTTTTTTGTCAAAGCATGCAAACGGATTTTGCTGATTTATAATAGGAAACTTCTCGGAAGTATGTTTTACAGAATTATTGAAGATTTGGATCCCGAAGATAAGTTTGTGGTCTTCAGAAAATTGATTTCAACAGACTGACAGAAGGAAGGAGGGACATGGTTTAATCGACTCCGCTATCTATAAGGATCCAGAATATATATACTATATAAGGTCGGAAAATTATATTGTGGAAATTACAAAAGGAATCACAAATTTAACGAAGGCGAAAGATTTGGATTCACTTTTTGTTTCAAAGAAGAGCGTTAAGTTGATCCTTTTGATTGACAGGAACACCGGCGAAGCGTGAGTTGCTTATATCCTTTCTATATTGTACCACTTCTGGTAGGTAACCAGTTACTGATTTAATAGCTCTAGATTCGAGTCGGCCATACAATTGCTCTAAATAGTCTACAGGAATTACTAGACAATATTGATTACTGTAACCCCAAATCATTTCTTGAAAGGAACTTCTTCATGTCAACTTAGTACAATCCAAAAGAGATTAAAATAATTATCCGTAATGGATCATACAGGATTTACACTGATGACTTTTAAATAAAGGATAGTGAAGTGGGAAGAACTCCCTACCGTTCTCCATATGCTTAACCTTAATTCGGAGCCGAGTCTACGTGCATGAAGAAAGAAGAACAGAAGCTACCTGTCCAACATGTGAACCACTACGATCACAAGCCTTTTGAAACTTTCGGAAAGCACAACTACTAAACATAACTTCAGTGATTACTAGCCACTCAGTGACCTAAACTAAACTAATTACACAGGCCGACAAAATTTAAGAAAGTCGAAACCCTGCCACCAAGTTATACTTTTCTAAAGGATTGAATCCGAATTTAACCTCAGATTTTCTCCATTTTTGGACCTTTTTGAGATGTTATAACAGCGCCAAGACAACTTTATTAATAAAATATTTTATGCCATCTGAAAGTCCTTTCAGTCAACTTATGATGAATTTATCTCGAAGAACAAAGAAGATACATATGTATTAGGGATGCCAAACGGGACTGGCTTTTACAAATCCCGGGATTCGGGATTTTGAAAATTGCAATCCCGGGATCCCGGGATATTTCGGGATCCCGGGATTTTTCGGTATTTCGGGATTTTACGGGATTTCGGGATTACATGAATTTAATTATTTTATATATGAAAATCTTTAAATCATCATATTTGTAAAGAAAATTGTTTAATTTTGTGAAAATTTAACAGACAGAAGATATATTTAAATTAAAACAATCCAATTAATTCCAATTTTTAAATAAAAACTTTCAGAATTGCATAATTTCTGAAACTTTTTAAATACATACTTACTTCCTAAATAAAAATAAATATCAAGTTCCGAAATTAGACATAAGCACTTTTTAAAACCTCATACTGTTCCATGTGAACTAATAATTATAACAGATACCAATTCAATTATTCGAACATCAATTTAGAACCTATTCTTTGAAAAATATTTGGAATTTTACTCAAAATACATATTAGTTTTGGAACATATTATTATATTCGTAGTATTAATTTAAAATTTTAGGTGCATTCAGAACAAGGTAATTTACCTTTACCGGTATCATTCAGATTTGTAGAAAGTTAGAAATGTAAAATCCTCTAGTATTGAAAAATAAAGTTTGTATTCGACTGTGCCGAAATTAAATACCCACCATCAAAATATTGTAATGTATTGATATTAATATCAGCATCAATGTGATTTTCAGAGGAGGTCCAATTAGGTTTTCTTGTGTCAATTTTGGTCCAAATTTGCAGCCCAAATAGAATGAGTCTTCTAACTCGTGTTTTCAGCTTACAGACACAGAATGTGTATACTTTTTGGGTCGGTCTACGACCAACATTGCAATGTGCTAACAAGTAAAAAGTTATAGTTGGGCGAAGCCTACCATATAATACCCTACACCAGTTATAAAAATAAAATGTGATTTATTGTTCATAATAAAGCATCTAAGTTGAATTGTACCTTGCCTCAGATATAATTTAGCTATTTTTTGTTGAATAAAATTGTGTACATTTAAGTCATATTTCGAAGGGGGCTTTGCATAGGGGCTAGGGTCAAATGAGGCCGCATCATCAAAAAATACATCAGGGTCATGAAGGCTGGTATAGAACTTGGTTTTGCAGCTTTTTGTCGAGTTACGAGTATATTGAACATAATTATGAACTTAAAAACCCTATTTGGGGGGTTCAGTTGTATGGGGGCTAGGTCAAATATTGGACCGATGTTATCCATTTTCAATAGGATCCGTCTCTAGTACAATAGAAGATCATGCAAAATTTCATTGAATTATCTTCAAAATTGCTGTAGTTTGATTACAAGGTTTACACGGACGGACGGACAGACGGACGGACATAGCTAAATCGACTCAGAAAATGATTCTGAGCCGATTGGTATACTTTAAGGTATAGGACCAATATTATTGTGTGTAACAAACATCAGCACAAACAAAATATACCCTCCCCACTAAAGTGGTGTAAGGTATAAAAACGAAGTGAATAAATAAATTTATATGTGCTATGTGTATGGACTCATACCACTTTAAAAAATAAAAGGTTCAAATATGTATAAAATTAGCTCTGCGGAATTTTGTTTTGCATGAGTCAAAAATAAAATAAGATCGTAATTTTCAAATTAATGAAAATTATGACTCAAAAAAAGAAAATAAAAACAGTTTTTTGAAACAAATCCTAATCCCGAAAAATCCCGGGATTCGGGATTTGCCAATCCCGAAAAATCCCGGGATTTTCGGGATCGGGATTTCGGGATTGGCATCCCTAATATGTATGTTTTAACATAACATTATTTTAAAGCTGGCAGAATGGACTTTCAACATATAAATAAGGGCCAAAAATGGCGTTTCGGATTCAGCGCAGCTCAATCTTTTGTCGGCTTGTCAATCCAATATTTGAATCTTATGTCGGCATGTGGGGTCTTCAGGGACTTGGTTAAATAACCTGTTTATCGAAATGTTAACGTACAATCAGCATGACAAACTCATGTTCAATATGTACATATCAACATTAGGGTGGACCCGTTTATATGGAGCAAAAATAAGGTTTATTCTAAAGTTTCTACCGAAAATTGAACTTTAGTTTATTCTAAGATATCGTTTTTTGTCCTGGCATCAATATGTGTGGAGCTGGGTAAAATAATAACATAATTTTTTACGGGGCCACCCTAATCTATACACATATGCGAGATTTGCAATTAAATTTCATTTAAGTGTACTAATATAGTCACGTAACGTATACGCAATATTTAATTCGTTTTAATACAAATTTATTGCTCATACGCCTAAGTGGAACATTAACTTCATAAAAAGAATTTAGTCGTTTTAAAAACATTCGAAAATTAAGCCAAATCAAATAAATTAACAAAAAAAATAACTTCTTATTATAAAAAAATACATTTGTATACATAGGCAAACATGCATTAATACATACAGACATAAGTACTTAAGTCAAAGGAAAATTGTATATACCTCTTTAATTATATTTTTAAAACATGTTTATCTCCAACATAAACTCCTTTTGATTTACTCAACTAAAACTTCTTAAAGCCACTGATACACATACGGAATTAAATACCTTATTTCTTTAATTAAGTGGGTTCTTCTCCTTAAATGGTACACAACGCACACATACACATTAAATGGAAGCTTATATAACAGCAACAGCAGTTGTTACTGCAAAAAAAAAAAACGCAAACAATAAATGGAAGCTGGAGCACAAGAAGCACTTACAATAACAAAATTTCACATAAGTTGTATATGTTGTTTTAATATGAATACGTGTGAGTTGTTTATATAATATACATTCTATTAAATTTATATTAAATTATTATTTTAAAATTTTCGTTTCTTATCAAACAAGGACTTTTTCTTTATGTTTTTCTTGTTGTTTGTTTATTTATTTTGTTGACACTGTGAACACTTTCACTTTTTTTAGAACATATCGCTTTGTTCGCAAAGTTAAAATTAGAAAAACAACAAAAATAAACTGTTAAACAATTTTTGCGAGGACACAAAAAATACTCTCACGGTTTACTTGCTAACACACACATTAAGAGAGAGACAAAGAAAATTGGTACTAAAATTAAAGAACACACGAAAACAACGAACTCACGAACAACTCAGACGACAGTTACTTGGTATGTAGGCCGTAGTGAAGAGACAGGACGAATATTTTGTTGTTGTTCGTTTTTTATGAATGTAGTGTTTGGGGGCGTTAAAATTGTTACAACAACAGAATTGTTTGCTGGTGGGGTAGACGACTATTTATTAACAATCTGGTGGTCTATTTAAAACAGTGTAATTATTGTTGTTATTTTCGTAGGGAGGTCTTTTGACAGTATAGTGGGTGGTATCAGGCGAACTTTTATGTACGAAAAATTATTTTTGCATAACACTTTTCAAAACAATTTTCTCGTTTAATTTTTCTTAAATTTTTATATTTTTTATAACGCTTTTTACACTTTCCAAAACAGGCAAGATTAATAATTAATTTATTTATAAACATCTATTAAAATGTATACAATTTTTAC